GAGGGAGAAGCAGACTCCCTGCTGAGCAGGGAGCCCGATGCGGGACTCGATCCCGGGACTCCAGGATCATGACCTCAGCCGAAGGCAGTCGCTTAACCAACTGAGCCACCCAGGCGCCCCGTGTTTGTATTTGTCTTAAGTATATACTAGGAGTAGGAATTGCTGGCTCATCTGGCAAGTCTACGTTTAGCCATTTGAGGAACTGCCAGATTATTTTCCATAGAGACAGCATCATTTTTATATTCCCACCGGAAGTACCTGAAGGTACCAATCCTTGTGTTATTTTGAAGTAAATCCAGATATAATTTCATCTTAAGATATTTCAGGATGTATTCATAAAAGGTGAAGATTTATCAAACATAACCACATAACTACTTAAAATAATTTCTTTTTTTTTTTTAAGATTTTATTCATTTATTGACAGAGAGTGAGCACAAGCAGGGGGAGCAGCAGAAGGAGAGAGAGGGAGAAGCAGGCTCCCTGCTGAGCAGGGAGCCCAATGCGGGGCTCCATTCCAGGACCCTGGGATCATGACCTGAGTTGAAGGCAGCTGCTTAATGACTGAGCCGCCCAGGCGCCCCAGTACTATTTAAAAAAATTTTTTTTATTTTGTATTGTATTTTTTTCCTTCTTTCAAAGATTTTATTCATTCATTTGAGAGAGAGAGGCAGACAGAGAGAGGCAGAGGCAGATAGAGAATAAACTCCCTGCTGAGCCGGGAACCCGACATGGAGCTCAAGCCCAGGACCCTGGGATCACGACCCCAGCTGAAGGCAGATGCTTAACCATCTGAGCCACCCAGGTGCCCCAATAAAAAAATTTTTTAAAAGATTTTATTTATTTGAGAGAGAGAGAGGTGCGAGCGGGGGAGGTGGGAGGGGCAGAGGGAGAGGGAAAGAAAATCTCAAGCAGACTCCACGCTGAGCCCAGAGCCTGACACTGGGCTCCATCCCATGACTCCGAGATCCTGATCTGAGCCTAAATCAAGAGTTGGATGCTTAACCGACTGAGCTACTCAAGCACCCCCCACCCCCCAAAAAAATGTTTTAAGTAAGCTCTACACCCAACGTGGGGCTTGAACTCACAACTCTGACATCAAGAGTCACCATGCTCCACTGACTGAGCCAGCCAGGTGCCTCTATAAGTCCTATTTTAATAGTTGTTTGAATCAGGATCCAAATAAGGCCGACCACACATTACATGGATTTATAGGTCTTTTAAATTCTTTAATCTGAGAGTCCCTCCTCTACACCTCATTCTCTCTTATTTTTGCTTTGTAATTTGTATTTTGAAGAAATTAGGTCCTTGATCCTGTAGCAGTTTCCACATTCTGGGTTTTTCTGGCTCCAGTCATGTGGTGTTATTTAATATGTCCTATTGTCTCCTTCATTTCCATTAACTTGGCAGTTGGATCCAGGTGCTTGATCAGATTCAGGTTTGTTTTGTGTTGTTGTTGTTTGGTTTTTTTTTTGGCAAGGTTAACTTGACAGGTGTTTCTTTTCTTAGGCACATAATATCTGGTCATCATTTTTGTGATGTTAGTAACTGTGGATATCAATGCCTAGATTTTTCTCTTTTGTAAAGCAAGCTACATAATCTTTTTTTTTTCCCCACTAAAAGCAATTGAGTTTTCTTTGTGGTAATTCTAAAATCTTGTTGGCTCTGTCCTACAGAAATACAAGCTAACTCATTGAATTGGTCTGTGGTGGGCTGTTTCTGGTGGGGAGGACCTAGCTCTTTGAATGGCAGAGTTCTCCAGAACCCAGTCCACCGGTCAGTTACCAGCTCTGCCCCCACTCCCTCTCTGGAGAGGTAGTGAACACTTTACAGACAGAGAATTCACAGGATTTTCTTACACTTCTGAAGGCTTCAAACATGTTGATATTAATACAAATAAATATATAAATTATTAGAGAAGGGGCTAATTTAAAGAGAGTGGTTTTTAAAATGGCAAAAATTTACATTTAAAACTTTCAGTTTGAGAAAAAATATTGTGTGGAGTTGGCATGATTTGGTTGGTCTTGATGGATCACAGCATAACGGGTCAGGGCCTCCAAGGTGCAGTGTGGTATAATGGTGAGAAACATGGATTCTAGAAACAGACTGCTTGGTGTTGAATCCTGACTTCGGCCTAACTACTGTTTAGCCTTGGGAAAGTTACTCAGTTTCTTTGGGCATCAGCTTATGGATCTATAAACTGGTGATCTGGTAATAGCACCTCCCTCACAAGGTTGTTGTGGAAGTGAAGTGAGCTAATGCGTGTGAAGGGTTGGAAGCAATGTCGGACCCGTGGCAGGAGCCCCTCGGAGGAACACTTCCCAAGGTTAAGGGTTGTATTTCGTAGGGCCCGGCTCCTACAGCGCCCCTGCCGGCGCTCCTGTCCTTGTGCGGCTTCCGTAGAACGGGACCAGCCCGGGAGCTCAAGAAATGGGCGGGAGAGGGCGCCTGGGTGGCTCAGTTGGTTAAGCGACTGCCTTCGGCTCAGGTCGTGATCCCAGGGTACTGGGATCGAGTCCCGC